ACGTTGTAAAACACTGCAGTAGAATTCTAATTCAAATAAAAGGCATGGTTACTCTAGACTCGAACATTATTTTACATTCCTCAAATAGTAAAAAATAAAGCGATAACAAAAACGAATATTTAAAATCTCAAACGATTATTCTTAAATAATCACGAGTTCCATTTCTGACAATTTTGCGGAAAGGATAATCACTTATTGCTCTTATTAAAAACCGGAAGTTTTTGAACCGGAAGTGCTACAAGCAGAGTTCGAAACACATATAACCTTTTCAAGATCACGGTCGAATGCTGAGCTACTTGATCCAAATGTATAAGGGATGTATTAATCAATGTATTAATCACGATGTATTAATCAATGTATTCATAAATATATTAATCATGCCTGACTGAACCTTTTTTTCATAAATATTATTATTTATGAACAAAAATTGTTACTATAATTATTATTTTGTGCAAAACTTGAATAACAACTCATTCAAGACTAAAAGTAACTATTATATCTTCGTTAATCAATCAAATTAACGCTGCAATCTATTGCAATCAAATCTTATGCAATCTAATCTCATGCAATCTAATGTAGATTACTAATTCAAATAAAATATGTAAGTTATTATAGATAGAACCTTATTTTAGATTCCTCAAACTGTAAAAATTGAATCGATAATAATAGCAATTATTTAAAAGTCCAAAAGCAGAATTGATCATTATTCTCAGATAATTATGAGTTCCATTTCTGACAATTTTCCGGAAAGGATAATCACTAATTAATCTTATTAAAAACCGGAAGTTCTTGAATCTGAAGTGCTACAAGGGAAGTTCGAACACACAGGTAACCTTTTCAAGATCACGGTCGAAAGCTGAACGACCTGCCAGATGATGCAAATGTGTTGGAGAAACATTAGTCACGCCTGATTGAGCATTCATAAAAACAGGATAATTATGTCATGTTGTTCTTGGCATGCCGATCAGTTTCTTTTTTTTTCAGTTCACGCTTTTTCTTGTCATGGATGAATTCGGTCATGCAAGAATCCTGGTTGGAATTGCCATTAGCGCTATTTGCTTTTTGAGGAAGGCACCCAACCAGTCTAATACAATTTTAACCATTTAATGCATTTTAAATTGCTAAATTACTTGTTCTTTTAATTTACCTCCAGAAGCAGCAAGTGAAATAATAAAGCATTTAACATTTAAGAATTTTAAAAAAAACTGAAGCAACGGCAGAATATGTTTAGTTGGTTTGAAAGAAACCAGACTATAAATGTGCTAGTATATGAAGCTGTTTCCAAAATTAATTTCATACTTAAAAAATTGTAGTAATTTAGAAATTTTCTTAGAAAGCTTTGTTATAGAATAAAATAATGCTTTTCGGGAAATACTACACTATTTTTATAACTAATGTATTAACCATAACTGATTTGAAACTTAAATTTTTTTTTTTTCAAAATACCATAAAACTTGTTCTTTCTCGAAGCTCATTTATGATTAGTAGTTTTTTCTTATTGTATGTTTCTTAGAGTTTATTTATTTATTTGAAGCAAGATGCCTACCCGGATGTTCTAGCTCTATACAATATAAATTGCGATAAGAAAATATCAATTAATCTTTAAGCTCAATTAGTTTAATTTTGGTAGCTCTTAAAAATTTATTTGCACTAACACATGTGGTCTTATTTGTTTGAATTGCTTAGATGTAGAGGCAGTCAAAATCATTTTAAATCTAGTATATTAAATTAAAAATAAAATAGAAAAGCATAAAATTGACTAATACTTAAAATATTAAAGAAAACTCCTTCACCAAAATCGGGTGATGTTGACACTATCTGAAAAGTCAGTTCAAATGTGCTACAAACTTAATATACTGTTAAAATAAACTATGTTTCACTTCTATTTAAACAATCATAACGTTTAATCGAGTTTAAAATGTATAATAATATTGTTCAACTTATCCCCATATTATGGTTGTATTAAGTTTCTGCAATATTATAGTTCAACACGGACCACAGCTTTTTATAATGTATTAATAGAAAATATGGTTTTAGTTTGGAAAATGGTTGGGGAAAATAAAGCATTCATTATATTAAATTATTCATAGGTTCTGATCTCTCATAGAGAAAAAAATTCTGGCTAAATTACGCTACTGTGAAAGAAAAAGCATAATTCTGGTAATAAAATCAAAATGTACGGTATTTAATCAGTCTAATAGATATTCTAATTCTAAGTTTTCAGGATAGAATTAAGTAAAACTGCTTAGTTAATAAACATAATTTGTTTTCTCGATATGAAAGTAAAAAATTGATATTTATTACACCCTTTGTTCAAAAATAAACAGAATTTTTAAACTTTTAGCTTATTTATTGATAATTTACTATAACACTCATCATTAGATTTGATGGATTTTTATTCATCAATTGCCGAAATAGAACAATCATTTACCTATTTGAAATTTAAAAAATTGTTTCAAATTATAAACTACATATTTAAACCTAAAAGTGATCTTGGCACAACTGCGTGTTTGAGATATTTTTAAGCCAAATATTTATAACAATACATATAGCATTATAAATTTACTGAAATATGCTTGTAAATACGCTATATCGACAAATTTTGAAAATATATTAGAAGTAAATACGTTCTTAAATTTTCTTCCCTGATTAATTAATCAATAACCATCAAGCCTTGTAACCTTACACAGTTAATAAGCCTTATACAGTTGATTTTTTTGTTGTACGTAGTTCCATCAAAAAGTCCTCTACGAAATCTAGTTTATCCTAATGCTCGGTCCAAGAGTTCCCTTGTCTTCGGTGTTGGGTTCAAAATTGGAAGGCTACGGAGTTGAATAGTGATAGTCGTTAACTTAGAATAGGGTCAGCTGTTCTATGCCAGTTATGAAATAAGGTGTTAGAGTGTAGTGGTGTTCTAACTCATAAACTCGAACTAACAAATGAAATGTGATATTAATACGAAGCAAAATATTTAGAAAATATAGAAGACTTCTGCAAAACAAAATGCAGAAGTCTTCTAACTAATCAGTTGTAAGAATCCTAAAACCTTCCACCATTTGAGAAGCACTTCATTCATATTACTAAGCAATAAAACGTAGCCGTGAAGAAAGAAAACATAAATGTTTATAGTAATACGAAACAAAAATTTAAATTGTAACATAGATTCTGCATATCCTTAATTCAAAGTTCGGATTAAGCTTCATACTCATCAATATTCTAATCATTCGCCGAATCAGTCATCAGCTCATCCCAGGTGGCCTCAGAAAATTTCTATCACCCTTTAAGTCATAAATTTTTTGTCTTTCGTCCACTGTTTCAGGCCAAGCAGTCTATAGAGCAAGACGTTATTATTGCTCACAGGAAAAAAACACTTCTCACCCTCTTTCTTCTTTTTTTCTTCTTCCTTCATCATCTTCTTTGATCCCAGGTAACGGGACCACATCCGCATGTTTGGTAAACTATCTTCCTAGTTCTAGAAACCGGTTGACCAGACCCCGGTTTCGGTTGATAGGACAAACCGCATGCGCACTAGGCCAACCCAGTCACGGGAAAAGGATGGGAGGGTAATTTGGAACCGGTTTCTTGACGACCGTGACATTGAATTATACTTAGATTTCCGAAGGTGTCTTGTGCCCATTCAAAAAGAACTTCAAGAGCACTTGGTTATCCACGAATAATTCTTGCTTTATTTTTGGTTGCCTGAAAGTAGGTTATGTTTATGGTTATTTGTCTTTTTTTTTTTTTTTTTTCCTGATAGGGTTAGACTCGTTCAATTGATTTTGTTCCATGTTAAAAGAAATTTTTTCGTTCTTATTTTTTCTTTAAAAAAAATTGCTTTTTCTGAAAAATTTATTCTATTTTTTTTTTTTTTATGATGTGTTTAAGTTTGTGAAATCTATTTAATTTCCGAATAATGTAAATTTTAGTATATTGATTTAACTTGAAATTAATTCAACACATATATTTATTGAGCGTTTTTTCTTTCCCCTTCCTTTTTTGTTTTTCCTACTGAGAGGATTAAACTCGTTCAATCCATTAGGTTTTAAGCTAAATCTGATTTTTGTCATACATGTTTAGTTTGAAAGTCGATTGCGCGTTCCATGTCAAATAATTCTTTGTTACCTTAGTTATTTTACTTCGAAAAAAATTTAATGTTTTTATTTGTTTTATGTTTATTTATTTTTTATCTTAGGGATTAATTCGGCCAATCGATTTCATTTTAATGGCCGTTTTGGTTACATTTATTAAGCTTGAAAAGAATATTTTGAATTTTTTTAATGTTTCAAGTAGTAAAATTAACTGTTTTTTAAATTTAATAATTAATATTTGATTTTATATTTAATAATTTATGCGAAAAACATTCAAAATCTTTTTACTTGTTTAAAATTTTTAAATTAAGATTTTTTTTCCTAAAATTTCTTGAAGATAATATTGAGCTTTCACTTAAAGAAATTAAAATTATGCGAAGTTGCAAGATCATAAAATAAAATAACTCTATGAAATAATAGCAATACTTTATAATAATAATAACTTTATGGTAAAAAATAAATTTATTAATTGTCAATTGCGTTTATTTGAGATATTTAGTTTTTTTAGTTCTGAGATATTTGGTTTGTGTTTATTTGAGCATTAAATATCTATAAATTTAAATGTGTTCCTGATTATTTCTAACGCATCTTTGATAAAATTTAAATCTATCGTTGTTCTTATCTTAAGATATAAGCTGAAATTTATTGACAAAAAGTAATAAATAAAGTATGATATAATACGTAAGAAGATTCGAATTTAAAGAATAGAAACATTCAACAAAACTCTTATACATTAGTTGTTTATCAATGTAGTAATAAACATTTATATGACAGTAAAAAATAAAGTAAAATGTAATGAATAGTTTATTGAAGTAGAATTTATCATTCATAGTTCAAGAGTTTCAGTTAATTTATATATTGTTTTAATTTTAAAAAAAACTCGAGATTCATGTAGTTCTTGTTTATTTTCAGGTGTCATGATTTCCGTTTGGTGCGGCCTGTTGGTGATGGTGGTGGCAGTTCATGCAGCCGCACCTGCATCACAATCATCATCTTCTCCCACGAGTACTAAGAGAGAAGATCCTCAAAATGGCGGCGGAGGATCTGGAGGACAACCAGTTTATTCTCCATCAGCATCTTCCAATAGCTACAGCAGCGCTTCATTCGATTCATCCGACAATGGCGGGGCATACAAATCTCCGCAACAATCCCAAGGAAACCTTTATTACTACTATTACCCAGTTCAAGATAAAGGTCAAGATAATGCCTTTGCTAGTTCGTCCACCCACAACTATGCAACTGCACCTGCAAACTCGGGACCTTATGAAACTCAAGACTCTTCCCAAACAAGTTACCACACCTCTCAAGGTGGTGACGCTTACCAACAAGATGCATCATATGTGGGAGCACTTAACCAACTAAGCCAATATGGACTTGCAAATGGTTATTCCTTAGGAACCGGTGGACTTGGTGGAGCTGGAGGTAATGCATTTGGAGCCTATGCTGCTCAAATGGCACCTGCAGGTTACGCATCATCAGGTATCCCAGCTTCAGCTTACTCGACAGGAGCAATTGGCAGCTATCCAGCCGGCAGTGCAGCCGTTGCCAACTACGCAGCACAACCTTCAACCCTAGCCCAATATGCTGCTCAATTAACTGGGTTTGGTGGTGGTAACCAATATCAGGCCGCTACTTCTGGATATGGAGTACCTCAAGGCTATGGGCAACCTAGCAGAAGATATGGTCTTGGTAGTTTGATCATGCCAATGCTAGCTCTGGCAGGTCTGACTATGTTGGTACCTACAATCACCAGCAACTTGGGAAGTAGAACCAAGAGGTCAACTGACACACAAGCTCATCCTTTGACCCTCATCAGCGAATACAAAGACAAGCTAGAACGATATTATTCCCTGTACAGAACTGCTGTTGAGAAAGAAGAATGCATGAACCGAATCATCTGCGAATTTGGAAGTGCAGTTAGTGATGTTAAAGGCAAAGGAGCCGTTGTCTTGTAAGTTCATTATAAAATTATCTTTTTTAATTCAATTAATAAACTAAAGCATTTAAGGATAAGGGTGATATTTAACAAGATGTAAGTTTTCCGACAGTTTATATTGAAGTAGTTTGTACTTCCATCATAAATTTTCTATAAGGCCACTGAAATTGATTTCTTACATTCACGAGGCTTTCATCCACGTTAATAACAATTTTCTAAAAGCATTAAACATTACTCTTTCACTCGCTATTTATCTACTGTTTTCTATCAATTACTTATTTGAAAAATTTCATTTGTTCAAATGCTGCCAACAAGTATTAGTTTAAAATGAAGAATAATTTTCTAAGCAACTTATTCGTTAAATTTAAATTTAATGAAGCAAATTTCAAATTCGATATTCCTTAAGAAAGATATTTCGTTCATATACTCTTACATGCAGTTCGTATTAAAAAAATGTAATTAACATGACAAAAGTCATTTACTGCGGAGTCCAGCATCGTATTACTTTAGAGTGTCAATAAAAAAATGCTAAATTCAAAATAAATTCTAAAACGCATTATTTATGATTTCTAGTGTGGTCATATAAATTGTAGCAAGATTCCAGAATATAACCGCCATGCAATTGACGCATACTAATTTCCTTCATCACAGTTGAAATAGTTGTGCCCAACTAACTTATTGAGGTTTCAGTTATATTTATTTAATATGTATTTTAAACATTTTCAAGTCTCTTTGAGTAGATAATAAGGAATTTCAGTGATAGGGGGAGCCAGAAAGACATTAAATAAGCGCACTTTTTTATGACGAATTTTAATGATTAATATTGCATGACTCAAACTGCTAGTGAAATTCCTTAGTGCTTTTTCAGAGAACACTGACATTTATGACATCTAAAATAAGTGTACTTGAATTATATGATTATTTCTCTTTTAGGGTTCTGGAAAAATTGATGCCCAAAAACATGAGACCCAAAATGAATGTATTCAAAGCCGGTGCATTATCACCAGAAATTGGAAAATGTAAGAAAATGTTCAAGTGCTGAAAGATGGTGTGACAGTTTAACGCGCGACGTATGATAAACTTTTTTATTGAACATTACCTTGAAAGGAAATCAAATGTCAGCATGGCCAAGAAGATGGATAAATGCGTTCTGTACGCTTTTTGTCGTATCCTTTCTAAATATTATTATTGTATCATCTGTAGCTATTTAGATTTATATATTGGTCTTAAGACCACGAAGCATTCAACTAAAATTCGTTACTGGAACTTTTTAATACCTTCTAAGCAGTCTGCCTGCTCCAAACACAATTCATAAAAATGTGAGATACAGAACTCCTCTTCTTGGCCTATATAGTGACTATTTAAATCTATACATTCCAGTGCAAAGGCTACCAGGGCAGCTATGATATCGATAAAATATCTTATCTGATAATGATATCTTATTTTACGATTTTCGACATCATATCTTCCTTATAATGAGAGAATGTGTGTCCACAAACCCAGGACATATTTTGTGGTTTTTTTTTTAAATATTATTCATTTGAGTATTTAGTTAATTACGAAAGTATTGCAATTGCTGTTAATGACTTTTAATCACCTAGTTAAACAAATGTCACATTCTGTGATGTATAAATGTACAGTCTCTTTTCGAACTTTTTTTTTTTTTATTCCAGATATATAGTAGACAGTTCCTTTTAAAAATTCTTTCAACTTTTTCAGTTAAATTTGTAGGGATTCTCTCAGTGGGTACTTTTTAAACTGATTTGTAAAAATTCCTTACGTATTTTAAATAATTAAACATAGTATTTTAATATAAATATTAATTTCAGCTAATGCAGAAAAGGTGCTTTAAGAATGTTCTTCTTGTCTAAAAACTAAGAGAATTTTCAGTGAAATTGATAAACAATTATTGACTATTATAGAAGTATATTTTTTTATTATTATTATTACTCATCTCCTCATTAGCGCAGTACTGATAGATCTTTAATGAAATTTTATTTAAAATTTAAAGACTTAATATATTTCGAAATTTTCCAGAAGTTTTTCTGGAACGGCCTGATAATTTTTGTTATTATTTCCCGCTCTCATTCCGTATAGTGTGAAAGTTACTGTTGTTAAGACGTTCCGAGTACTGCGTTGTACTTATTTATTCTATTATCATTTCATTACTGCTATGTACATGCTGTTTTTGTTTTTGTGAATGAAAATAAATGTTTTAAAAATCTATTTGTTCGTCTTTTTCTTTAAATAGAAATTACAAAATATTGTATCATTGCTAAAAAAGTACAGAGGTTTGCTTCTTAATAGTTTGTTATATTATCTTTCAAAATACTGCTCGAAAAATGAGCAGTATTTTGTTATTTTAAGTTAAATTACAACTACAATATATATATATATATATATATATATATATCATCAATGTTGGCCAGACAGGTCAATACGAGCCAATGCCTTCCTCTGAAGATTTCTCCATGACGATATCGCATTAATTTATACCAATAGATGTGTCTTGATAACNACGAGGATCAATACCGCACACCCTCGGTACCTACGCAGACTGATCCAAGTGGTCACCCACCCGCACACTGACCGCAGCCAGCAATTCTCGACTTCGGTGATCTGCTGGGAACCGTGTGGGACAAAGTGGAATTATTTTCTTGAGGTTTGTCCACTTAGACAAAGAGATTTTTAAAATTTTAATTCTTTTTTTATTATTATTTCCTTAAATTTTATATCTGTTTGTTTGTTAAGGTCGGTAAGAGGCCGAAATATCGATAACAGATAAAATAAAGAAATAGTTTGCTCACAATAATTTTAGGAAACAATCTCAGGGCCCGCACTAAGCATTCGCCTCCTCGTCCGTCGTTAAAAGCGATAAAATCGTAAATTTGGCGAATAAAATTGTGTTTTGGAGAAAGTATTGGGGGGCGAATGATTTTTTCCACCAGAAAGAAAAAAATATATTTAACTCGATCCTCAAAATTACATCAAAATGAATTTTTCTAAACAAATCAGCATTTTTTATTCGATTACAGCTATTTTCGGTCCAACCAATTAAAATTGGGTCCAAATAATATAAGCCTGAAACAAACTACCGTAAAATAATCAAATTAATTATTAAACTAATTTGAAAATTAAAAATTAAGCATTAAAAATTGTCAAGATTTGCATTTGACAAAGACTTTCGAAAATTGGCAAATACTTTTGATGTTTGACTAATTTACTGTCGAATAATTTTAAATCCTTAGGTCGGGCCCTGAATCTTATCTTGTATTGCCATCAGGCACATAATTCCAGTTGAAATTTGTGCACTCTAGCTATTCGAAACGTCATAGGAATTTCGATCAATGACAAATCCTAACAGCAGAGCTTCGGTGGCTCAGGAGATAGAGCGCTACATCATAGGTCACATGTGTGGGTATACATGATCTTCTTCTTCTTAAAGTGCAAGTATCCAAATACCAAAACGAGACCAACAATTTAAGAATTATGTAAAGGGAACCTAACCTACAGTTTTGAAGACAAAAGTTGTTCAAAAGCTTCAAAATTGCATAAGTAGAACGCAACATTGTAAAAACGAACGCAAAAGTAAATATATATATATATATATACACACACAATCTGAATTGTATGATAAAGTCTAAATTAAGAATTAAAAAATATTAAAAATGGTTTGAAAATTAAAAGAGTTATAATCAAACTCACTGTTTTAAGAGTAATTGTTTTGAGGAAACGAAATTTCTATGAAAATGAAATATGCATACTGTCGAATAACGTTTAAATAACAGAAAATTTGACTTTTCAAAAATTTCCCTCAAGTATTTTCAGATAAACATTTAAACCACACGAGATTTGTTTTGTTTTGTTCATTTACGTCGCACTAAAGCTGCACAATGGGCTATTGGCGACGGTCTGGGACACATCCCTGAGGATGATCCGAAGACATGCCATCACAATTTTGATCCTCCGCAGAGGGGATGGCACCCCCGCTTCGGTAGCCCGACGACCTGCACGCGAAGTCGAGCACTTTACGGTAGAACAGTTTAACGAGGACCAATACCGCACACCCTCGGTCCCTACGCAGACTGATCCAAGTGGTCACCCACCCGCACACTGACCGCAGCCAGTGATGCTTGACTTCGGTGATCTGCTGGGAACCGGGTCTTAACGATCAGTCCACTGCGGGACAAACCACACGAGATAAATAAACCATTTATACATGAAGAAACAAGCATAGAAATAATAAAAATGAACGTGACACACTTCATCCAACATGTATTATTAAGTTCGATTTTTGTTGAATAATAATTATAAACAAGAATAAAATTAAAATATTAAGGATTTACAGATCAGAATACAGCTTTCTTATCTTGGAAAATAAGATATAACGAATCTTGAAAAATTTTCAGAAAAATAAGATCTATGGTAAGAATAATATATATGCTAAAAACTTACGAATTAAAGCCTACTTCATTTTTCAAGTCTCTCTATTCAACAAACCTTTCAGTTTCTATAATTATTGAAGTCGTATTAGGCACTATCTATTTATTTACATGCATAATGCATTTGCCGACTTACATTCTCAATATATGCAACTTCTGAATAGTCCTTTCACCAAAAGTTGTGAAGGTAGAGGGTTCAAATCCCACAGTAAAGTAACTTATTTATTAGTACACTTCTTTGTGTTACCCTTCTCACATTCGTGCTATATGCTCCTTTCTTTGAGGAGGGTTCATAAGCAGTAATTATAAAATGCTTATTACAAAACTCGGTAGCCAGGATAGCCTGGTTGGCAGGACACTAAACTCACGTTCGTGAGAACGGGAATTCGAATCCAGCTGGTTTCCCGTGTAGTAAATGTTGACAGGTACACGTTAAATCCGTCAAGTTACTAAATCCTCCATGTTCCCATAACAAATTATGCCTCTGGGGGTACTAAAATGAAGATAGATAGTTATCTGGTTCAGGTCAAAATTACGATCTGTCGATGAATGAATGGATCCGTCTTATAAACGGGTGTGGCAGAAGTCGAATTCTTGGCCATAAATGGCACCCCCTGCTTTAATGGCCTTGCTTTGTTTAACGACGACAACAACAAAACTAGGTTTATAAAATAAACCCTAACCAAATTGAAAAACAAGTTTCAAAAGTTAGAGTAGAACAGTAACAGCACAAAAATACATCCAGAAAAATGCATTCGAACCTGCCTCCACACTTCGAAGTGTTTGGCGAAAAGGCAATACCCCTTGACCACAAAGGCCCACAGTTCTAATGGGGAATTGACAATGGTATGAGATACATCTGCCGTTGCGATTCAAAAAAATTGAGGATGATGATGGTCGAAAGACACGGAGGTAGGAGACAAAATGTCACTGAAGAAGCGTAGTGCTCAAGTGATGTGGGTCGAATTGTAGCATTAAATAATTGCTAGAAACTCGGTCTGAAGTGGACTGATTGTAAAGACTCGGTCCCTAGTAGATGGTAGGTACGTATTTTATTTACGTAGCACTATTGGCGACGGTCAGGGAAACATGCCTGAGGATGATCCGAAGACATGCAATTATAATTTTGATCCTCTGCAGAGGAGATGGCTTCTCCGCTTTGGTAGCCCGACGATCTACGAGCGAAGTCGAGCACTATACGGTAGAACAGTTTTAAGAGAACCTTTACCGCTCACCCTCGGTCCCTATGAAGGCTGATCAAAGTGGTCACCCACTCGTTTACTGACCGCAGTCAGTGATACTTGGCTTCGGTGTTCTACTGGGAACCGTGTCTTTACAATCATTCCACTGCGCGACGGTTCCCAGTAGAACACTGCAGTCAAGTAGCTGTCAGTGAGTGGGTGGACGACTTATTTGTGTGAAGGGACAGAGGGTGAGCGATATCGAACCTCATTAAACTTTTCTACCGTAAAAAGCTGCAACTTCGCACGCAGTTCGTCGGGGTATTGAAGCAGGGGAGCCTCCCCCTCTGCAGAGGATCAAAATTGTGATGGTTTGTCTTCGGATCATTCTCAGGGATGGTTCTAAGACCGTCACCATTAGCCCATTCAACAACTCTAGCTCGACGTAAACGTAAATTAAGCACTGCTACTAATTTATGAGTAATTTGGAGTAGCTACGCCTGAGGGCACAGTTACACAGTGATCACGCAGACAGGTTAAACCGATCTACGTTTATTATATATTTTTTTCTATAGCGATTTTTAAATTGAAAACAGTGAGTAAAAAATATACATCTGAAACTGAAAATAGTTGATAATTCATATGTAGTTAAAGCAGATATCGAGCCCGCAATTTTCACACACAGTGTGTGAGGTAAGATTAAAATGTATGCAAATAAGAAATATGTAAATAGAAATAATAATAATAATAAAAAATCAAATAACATTAATCAAAAAGTAGCTAATGCCTGGTCGATCAGTTCACCTGGTAAGTAGAAAACAAGCGCAACAATTGCTATTTCAAATAAAATAAAAATGTTTACAGATGGGCTTAGATATATTTCTTAATTTAATCTAAGAGCTTATATGCAAAACCATTACATCAAGAATCTTACTTTATCTACGAATATTACTGGAAAACGTCTAAAATAAATACAGAATACCCCAGTTCAAGCCTATACTCTCGGACAAGGCGTGTTGTTTTAACAAAAAAAAAATTCCTTTTAGAATTTTTTTAGGTATATAACATTATTCTGAATCAACTTAAAATTGAATTTTTAATCTATCAATAATTTATAGTAAAGAAGGGACTGCTAAATACATTCCTAGGAAAATGAGTATCATTATTTAGTCCCATGACTTAGTCAGCTTATAAAAAAAATTATGAAATTAAGAGACAAAATTAATGAATATTTATCTGAGGAGAAAAAAAACAAAAACGCTATCAAAATATCAAATTACTATTGAGGAAGGGGAAATAAAAAATAAAGCCAGATGGTTTGCTTGATGAAATTCAAAGATGTTAGTGATTTTTTTACCCATTTACAATTTCTTCTGGAATCAAATAGGATTTAATAATTTTTTTTAACAATTGTTATCATTAGATTAATAATATCATAAAATGCTGCAATCTAATCTACAAACATAATCCTACAAGCAACAATGATTTTAAACAATACTAATTAAATTTATTTTCAAATTTTCAACAAAAAAATTCAACATGAAACTATTAATTTTGACATAAATATTCTCTCCTGCAGTCTATCTTTATAATGGTATCATACATTTGTATATTATTGGTACGTATTTCTAAAAATATTATTCAAAAATAAGTGTTTACTTTGGTGAAATAACTTCACAAAATGTAATGATATAGCGAGCAATTAAAAAATTGACAAAACAAATTGCACAATTCTAAATAAAAAAAAATTTCAGGTAGATAATATTTTATCGTGTTCATCTTCAATATACCTTAAACTTTGCTAATGAGTGGCAATTTCTTCTAAAATCAAGCAGTCATAAGTAATTAAATTGGTGAAAAAATAACCTGAATTAGATAAATTTTTGAACTGAATTTATAAAGATTATCACTGAATTTTAAGAGTGATTTTAATGTAGCACCTTAAATTTTTTAGACAAAAATATTTTCTATTTGAACTTTACTCAGAAATTTAATCTTCAAGCTTCTGGCATAGGAATGGCAAGTACAGTGGAAAAAATCATCCCAGGAGAAATAAACTTCTTTCATGCATTATTTTATCAAGTATAAGCATTGTTTAAATAATGATAAAAACAATAAAACATCTATCTTAGAACAACTTAACAGTAGTTAGATTTAGGTTAACAATATCTCATTATAAACATAATTTTGCTTGCAACAATGCATTTAAAAAATAATTATTTAATTAATTATTCAATTTCTTTATAAAATATGTACTGGTTATCTGCTACATTTTAGATTTTCAAATACATGACTTTTCATGATTAATTCCAAGAATTTTTCATGACTTAATGAAGTTACTATTTTCTTCGACAAAAACACAACAATAAATTTAAAAAAGCATTATAATAACATTCATTGAAATGACAGGTATAACCAAAACTGTTATACTCTGAATCTTCATATTTATAGATTTTAAATTTAAAAAAACAGAGTAAAGAAAGAGTTGAAGCAATAAAACAGCTGAAAAAAATACATAAGCAAATAATTTTTTTAAATCTTTTTTCTGCAGAATTACATTCTAAAGATACTTTTCTTGTTCATCGGAAAGGAAAGAAATATTCCTGATTTTTCTGTTCTCATTTCGAAATAAAAAAATTTGCCATTGACTGGCTTGCTTCAGCTAAAATTTTAAATTGATAAAAAATAATAATAATAATAATAACAAAAATTCTGAAATCACAGAAGTTTAAAAGACAATTCTCTTTAGAAATGTTTTTTCTTTCATTTTTTGAAAGAACACCATAATTTTTAAAGAGCACGATAAAAACATTTTATATTTTAATCAAATATGACTGGGAGTGGGGATTTTGTTACAAATTCAGATGTTCGGAACAACATGAAATTGGGGGGGGGGGGCATTCAATTTTAAAAATAAGATTTTTCAGCGACCTAAATCCATGACTTTTCATGATTTTTTTTAAAAAAATAGTTAAAATCATGACAAATTTTGTTTAACACTGAAATTCATGACTTTCCAGGTGCGCGAATACCCTGTATGTAATCTAGAAGTTGACATTTTAAGATAAATATTTTGTATTTATGTTCATTTTAAAAAGATCACCTTGTTTTAAAGTTGCTATTTCTAAGAATAGCAATTAAACTAAACAATTGATATGCATAACCACCTTCAATACATTAACTGCCAGCCAAGTACAGGTAATTATAATTGTTTTATCATTAAAATGTAATCTATAAAGATAAAATTAGTTATATTTTTTTTAATTTAGCAACAATTTAAACTTTTAAGATTAACAATAAGTTTATTTCAAAAACAATGCATTATTGTTGGAAAAAAATTTCAAATTTTGTGCAAAAATAGTTGGATGATAGTAAACATCTTGTTTCCACTTGATCTCTCTAATTGACTCAAACTGTTGATAAGAATTTCATCACACATTGGAGGGGATTGGCACCAAAAGTGTTAAAACAAAACTTTGAATTAAGTATTTAAGTAGTCAATTTGGCAATGGCTGTCCAAAACATTGTTTACTTTGGATAAAAAATTTCTTTATATTCAGTGGCATAAGGGACACTTAAAAAATATTATAAAAGCTTTTCCATAAATAAAAACTTTCAAATCTTAAAACACAGAAAGCTATAATCAAAAGAGTTGCCCGAATTAGGTTAATAATGACTGCCTACAAGTATATTGCTGTGAGCAATAATGCAAGAAAAAATTATTTAAATTTAGCAATTAATTTTTTAAAAACAAACTAACAATGCAAAACTTTTAATTCAGAGATTATTTTCTACTAGTATCAATCTTTATTATAAAAATGAACAATGAAAAAGCATATTAAAAAAATATGCACTTCCAAAATTTAAATTTTTTTATTTTATCTACTTGTGTCTATCTTCAAAATAATAACTTACATTCAGTTTCAAAGTAGTAAAGTATTCAAAAATGGCAGTCAAATATAAAACCAATATTAATATATATTATTTAATTCCTTTACCATTTCCTTTCAGTTATATTGGCTCCATACATTGTATTTTAATGTTTTTGGCAGTCCACTATTCTACTTCATAAATTGATCTCAGAAAAATTTCAATTCAGTGTTCATACAGCATTAGTTCAAGAGAGCCCTAAAGAACCATGGGCTAAAGCTGTCATTATTCATATTGTGAGACAGACTCAACCACTAAACACTTAATAGAATGCCATATTTACATAGAAACTAAACCAGTACTATAACTAAACCAGTAAGAAACTTTTAATTATAAATAAAACATAAATGGGTGAGTTTAAAAAAGCTATTTGTTTTTAAATGTAAAGCAATCTGTGAATTATTAACACATTTTCACAAATGAAAAGAAATTTATTTCCTTATTATTTACAAAAAAGAAGTAATGGATAATTTATGACTCAAAAATGCTCAGTATAAAAGATGGTTCTTCAAAACAAATACTTCATGCAATCAACCTGAAAATAATAATTATTTATCAAGAATTATCATGACATAATAAATGCAACTTTATATATGAAACGTCCTGATCAGAGAGCATATAAGAACAGAAAGTTTAAAAGATCATTCAAGCACTTAAGAGTCATACGATTTGTATTCACTTTATTAACAGTAGAAAGACTGATCAACCTTCCCAGGTTGCTTGTGTGCATATCAAATAGGCATCCAAAATCTTAAAATATAATTCTAACTATTTTAATAAATATATTTCAGGTTAAGTCATCAAAATTCTATAGCATTTTATTCAATTTGATTAATGAAAATATTTTATTAAATGGAACACTGACTTTTCAATTTATACATTATTTTCTCAGACTGTCTCCTTTTCTCTGTAAATAATAATTTAAAATATGTTGAAATACTCCTTTTTTTATGAAACTGGGGTATCTTATACCTATTAAAAGACTTCCTTATACCCAAATCTACCTGGGGTTAGAGGGTACCTACCAAAATACCATTGGGCTACTCTGGTTCCTGCCATCATTCTAGGTATAAATGTTCTATTTATATGTACGCTCTCTTAAGACTAATACCTGAATGATTAACTAGACATTTAATTGGATCAAATTATGAAAAACTCAGAAATAATTAATACTCTCAGTAAATTATTTTTCGAATCACAGAGCAATAAAAAACGAGAGGGGCTAAAATGGCCCTTTTTCAAAAACAAATGTAAATTTATCATAAGTCTTATTTCTGTTCTATTTTGAAAGCAAGTTCCATACTTCCATAAAAATGAATACAACAAATTAAGCTTCAAATTAAACATTTTAACAAAGCATACAAAAATGAAACAAAAGGAAGATAATTAGTAAAGCTGATTTATTAGTATAGTCAATAAACTTGTGAATTTACAGTTAAATTTTACCATTCGAAAGTAGTCATGAAACTTTGATGTAAAACGAGTACAGATTGACCTTTCTGAATCCTTTTATAATTATTAAATTTTAAACATGCTTTTAATGGATGCTACTTAATTCATACGAAAAGCACTTGTTTAATGAGTCAGAAAATCTTCTCCTATATTTTTAAAAAGAAATAAAAAGTTTTGCACAATTTTTTTTATAATCCTTAACATTGGGTGCATTGATCAACACATTAAGTTGTAAAAGCTTGAATGAATTGATAAGAAAAGTAAAATAAAAATAGTGATATATTTAAAACATAAATTGTAGGGACACAAATATATATCTATATTTTGCCCTAAAAAAAGTAAGCAAATATTTTGATAAAAAAAATTGCTAGAAAAAAGGAAAGAAATAAAAATTAACTATTTCATCAAAATAATTAAAATTTGAGTTCTTTTTCACTTTCACTAACAGACAGAAAATATATAAATAAAAAAAACTAATGAATTCTGTATATAAGTCAGCATTGAATAATCTATTAACTTACATTTTCAAAAACACTTCATTTTCCATTCGTTGGAGCATCTGTATCCATTTCCTCCTCATCATCTATGGGATGAAAAAAAGTGTGAATAAATAATATAAAATATAACAGACACAAACAAAACAATTCAGTGTTTTAAAGGGGCATTAGAATTTCATCCAGAAGACTGGAAAAAATTGGAAGGAACTAGAAAAAATGGAAGAAACAGGACGAAATGGAAGAAATTAAAAAAGACCAATACAAATGTTTAGAAGTAATATAAGATTTGCTTAAATTGAAATAAATTAAATTAAATATAGTAACAGAAAGCTAATAGCTTCTTCGCATCTATAAAAAACAAAACTATTCTTATACATAATTTTAAAAATTTATACATCATATTATTTAAGAATCATTTTGAGTATTCATACTTAACAGTATTTAAGTAAAAAATTAGTATGCTATTTGTTAATTTAGTAGTATAAATATAATTTGATCACATTATTTTAACAGATTTTTCATAGTTAAAAAAATTTATACTTATTTACATAAAATATTGCAAAATTATAGTTATTTTAATTTCTTAAAAAAAACATTAAATTAATATTTTTACAATTGTTGCTTTTCTTGTTTCCACCTACTTAAAAAATGACATATTAAATAGCTTGAAAATTAATACTATTATTTAAACTAGATTGAAAAACTCTTTTAATATTAGATATTTCTTTTTGGAAAAATTTCTTTCATTTTCCCCACTTGTGATGGAAAAAAAACTATTTATTCCGGCAGTTTTGTTTGCTGTGGGAGAAACTTGCCATCTCTGCTTTGAAATGGTATATGACAAGCTTATAGAAAATTAAAACTAAAAGATAAAAACTTAACATATACTAATCATTACATAATTCAATTAGTTGAAAAATTGGTTGCAAGAGCAACCACACACTGGAAGTAATGCTAAGCGAAATACTAATAAATATTTTTTTTATTTTATAGAAATTTTAATTAGTGCAAAGCAGGGTTGGAAATGAATCACAAAAGTCAATTTAAACTTTAATTATATACAGTGATCATAATTTATTATTACCATTATAATCATGATCACAAACAAATATAAGGAATGGATTACTAGCAAACAAGGGCTACACTTGCAATTTCTCTGAATAAAATATTAAAAGATTTCTAATAAGAGATGACTCAAATCACAGCATATAATTATCTTTTATATTGAAAGAAGTAAAGTACAAACATTGCTAAATAAACAATTTAGACATCACAATGACAAGTAATTGATAGTTTGTAATTCTTACGTACAATATTACATACAATTGTCCAAGTCAACTTAATTTAAGTTAATATGTTATTTAAATTAAGATGTTATTACGACAAGCGAATTTCTGATCATGCATTTAAATAATCATTTTTTTATACAATTTATTTGAGCATATTTCATCACCAATATTATTTATTTTTTTGCTGGTTTCTTGGCAATAGTTTTGCATTTGTACATTGTATTTAGAAATTCGATATTTTAATATAATATTATTGCAACATGAAAAATTCGAAAAGTGGAGAGATTTTTTTAAATTGCTCACAGCTAGCAATTTATGTGGCTTTAAAGTTTTTGTAACTTTTTTTGTGCAAAAAACGAAAAAGAAAAGTTTTTATCTTACATTTTTAAAACCTCTATTAATTCAAGAAATAGAAATACAAAAAGTATAGTAACAAATAAACATTTAAACTTATTTCGTATTACTATAATGATTTTGCTTTTTGTTTAAAACAAATAATTTCTTTAATTAAAATATTTAATTCAAATTTATATTACTCATTAAAATACACGCATTTCTTTGTTACATTTTCATTCTGTGAACGTCAAAGTTTTTTTTGTTGGTTAGAATACATATTTTATATTTCTTATTCCCCACATATAGATATGAACTTTTTTTTGATAAATCAATTAATGATAAAAAGGGAAAAAAAGCATAAGTTTTGGAAATTTTGAGTGAATTCTAACAACAGACATGAAAGTGGACAAAAATAAAAAAAAGATAAACTTTTACAACACAGTCACTGAGAGGAGGGGGGGGAGGAGTGTTCTACATAATACTGTGATATCGACGAGATATATAAAAGCAACATTTAACTTTGCTGGGAGATTTTCTTGTATTTAAAGTGGCAGAAGCATTTACACAGTGAAATTGAAATTTTTCTTAAATAAAATGTTTAAATTTTGACCACTACTATAAAATTAAGCAATTTGGGAAGTCGCGGCTAATCCAGTCAATCTTTTAAAATTAAAACAGTTGCCACCTCAATATCTTCTGATAGATTGTTACTAACAATTCAAGTCACTTTGACTGTTTTAATTAACCAATCAAACCTGAATTTACTTTTTTTCAATAGCATTAATCGTATGCACTTTGTGTTCGCCTTTCAAATTGACTACCATCGTTAAAATACATTCATCTTTCTCATAGCTGTCAACTTGTCAAAAACAAAAATAGGAACACAAAGCCTGATAAGCCAATTAGGTGTAATTATGAACAAAAACATAAAAATATCGAAATATCCATACATTTATTAACAATACACTTTTCAAATTTAACATAATTTTTTTGAGCTAACAGTTTTAATTAAGTTACTAACTAATGAAGAATATCACATCTTTATAGTAACTAATTCAACAAAAAACTTACTTCTTTCAAGCATCATGATATTGGTTTTAAAAATCATGTGAATATGCATTGCAATTTTAAAATTTTGCAAATATGAATCCCAATATTGGATTTTAAATTACGTGAATGGGAATTTTCAATCGATTTTTAAATCACGTAAAAACGAATTGCAACATGTAACTTTTAAATCAGTTAAATACGAAAATCGATGACTGATATAAAAATCATCTGAATAAGAATCGCGACTTTAGCAGATTTCCGCTCAGCTCCTAATATTTAAAATTCTGAAAACCAGCAAAACAAAATAAATTAAATATCGGCTGTCGAAACAAAACTGCTTAGAAGTCCTTCCCACTCTATGGCGGAAGTCACAATTGTCAAGACAATGACACACCTGCCGTAGCACCACCCATTTTCGTCTGAAGATCATTTTTTCAGGAGGCTACTGCAGGGAGAAAAAAGTTCGTTCCAAGCCAGACTATAGTTCAGGCTGCTTAGGTTTTACTAATTGGATTCCCCAAAAATTTAAGTTTTTGAAACATGGTCGAAAATTTTAAAAATCTAGTGAAAAAAAAACGGATTTCTGCTTTTTTGCAGAAGTTTTTCATCCCTGTAACAATTAAAAGTACTTTGTTTTCTGCAAATACGCTACTAAGTTTACTGATAAAAAAAAAAAATTAATCTTTTAAACACTAATGTTTGCAAAAAAGTTATCATTTGCCACCAACATGACTAAATATGTGTGCAGCCCTTCGCTAGTCAAACTGCTATGGAAGTGGCCCTTCACTCAAAAAGGTTGAGCACTACTTTAGTTCAAAATGATGATTCGTGAAACACAATACATGGCTGACAGCATCTAATCAAATTATTACCTCATTACTTGGTAATAATTTGATTACATGCTGTCAGTAAATAAAAGAAAAAGCGATCTTAAGTAGCGGAATTACTAATAATTGAATTGAAAATGTGATTCAATGAATTTTCAAATCATAAATGCATATTTTGTAAAATACATACAAAACAAATTTCAAGCACTTAAAAAAAAAAAAAACTAGTCTTGTTCTATTAAAAAAAAATTATAAATAAAAAATCGAATTCACATGCAATGTTTTTGCAATAGGCAATACATGTGGTCTTGTTTTCACAATTATCTTTTCCAGCTTTATTGAAATGTAGTCTATGTCCTGACATACACATTAGTTCAAAATGTTAATAATTAAATTTGACATTTAAGATAAGCATCATATGAATTTTGGTAAGAAATTAATATGACACAAGATTATAAAACTTACGTTGTCTAGAAGAAATGGAATCTTTTCTTGGTATTTGTCCAGTTTTCAGCATTTGTTTCAATCTTTCTACTTCTTCCAGAGTTGTGGCATTCTTAATTGCTTCCTGAAGAAATAAAATGACAATTCAATTTATTTGTAATCCAACACAAATATTTCAGATGATTTAATTTAATTCACATCTTTACAAACATAATCAGTAAACTTACAATCAACCCTGGAAACTGAATGACTAAAATTTTAATAGTTTAATTTATTAAATTTTTTTAAATGAATTAAGCAGATTAAACTGCACATTTTGTTTTGCCTATTAAATTATAGATGATTAATCATTTAATAGATATTTAATATTAAATCCTTAAAGAAAAATATAAATAAATTTATACAAAAATATTGATACTCTTAATTCAATAGATAACACTTAATATTATGCAATCTAAACACTTTTCCTTAAAAATCAATAATTTGAAAACTGGTATTTTTAATTTAATCTAGTGAATAATCAGTGAAAATTATATACAAGAAAAAAAATGCTATAAATTATGTAACCATTCAGTGAGAATACAGTTCAAGTTACAAGCTTTATATTTTCATGAAGAGAAAAGTGTTTTAAACAGCTGATTGGTTTCAGTCGTTATATGTATGTGCAAGAATGCAACATTTAAATATTAAAAAATTTAATTATTTTGGAAATATAAATCTTAAAAGTAATTTAAAAAAAACATAACTATAATTGCTAAATAAATAAATAAATTTTTTAAAATGAAGTATTAATTTTTTTATGAATGCTGAGAATTTTTTATGTGTACTAGGATCTTGAATGAATTGACTCCTATTTTTGGCTATAACAGAGATTAAAAAAAGAAGCCAACAAAAAATTTTAGCTAATTGAAATAAATAAATGCATTTTTTAAATGTTTTGACAGATTACAAAAACAAATAAGATGCAGTCTGATATTAATTTGAACTAAGAACTTTTTGTAAGCTAAAATAATCAAAATTGCATTAAAAAAAAATACTTACTCTTATAGCTTCTATATCAGCAGCAGTTGGACCACTAGGTTTGGATGTTGATGCAGCATTAGGCAAATCTCCACCAGGAACAAATGTTTTAGCTCTTTTTCCAATTTCTTTTTCCAGTTTTTTTCCCTTTTTACCCTTAAATAATTTGGCAGATTCCTCTCTCTCCTGTAATTAAATATATATCTTAAAAACAAAGACAATAATAAAATTGCTGAAACATAAAAAACTTCTAGTTTTTGTGAGAAATAACAAACTTACTTCAAATACTAAATTAGTGTGAATATTATCTTTAAAAAAAAAAAAAAAAAAAAAAACTTGGTAACAGCAAGGTCATGCATTAACTAAAATTTGACATATTGTAGATTTCAAAAATAAAAATCTTAAAATGGTTAGTGAGCATTGGTAAACATATTAAGTTCAAGTGCTCGTTAAGTTTGTTATTTTTCACACAAACTAGGCAGCATAAAGGTCAGAAATAAAATTACAAAAAAAAAAAAAAAAAAAAAAAAAAAAAAAAAAAAAAAAAAAAAAAAAAAAAAAAANAAAAAAAAAAAAAAAAAAAAAAAAAAAAAAATGAAATATAGTAAAGTTACAAAAAAAAATCCATCTCAATTTTATAAATCTATTGTAGATTGCCAAACAAGATAGATTGTCTGACCTATAAATCCAACATTTGTATCTAAAGAAGATCACAAAAATCAAAATCATAAAATACCTAATAGTTGTAGTGCAGTAAATATTACCAGCAAATAGCATTATTACTATTTGAAAGTGTCGCTCATTGAATAGAAATTTTAAAATTCAAATTTTTAGGAGAATTAAAAAGAAAACAAAAATACTGTAATTTTGCAGGGATATACCACCCTGGGATAGACGCTGTATCTGTAAAATTTGACTAAAAAGGAAAAGCTTTTCTTCAGAAAGGCCACACCGTTGAATACACCAGACATAAATTTACGGTGTGATCAATCGAGGAGTTAACACTTCTGTTTTATATAACAAGTTATATATAAAATAAATTATTAAACATTTAAAAATCATTAAAATGATTATTAGATATACAATAAAATAATATATACTTAAAATCAAAAATGATGTATTTAGATAATATTTATAACTTAACTTTTCAAATGAAAGCAAAATTGTACTGTGTACAATTATGCGCAATTGCACATGTACAGAAATTAAACTGTTAACGCATATAAAAAATAAAACTGTTCACGCATTTCTCTTTTATCCACGTTCTCATAAGTTGCATTATTTTATTAAAAAATCTCTAAATTTCAAAATTGTACATTACCGAGTCTAGGAAATATACGATAAAAATACAAGTAAAAATAAGGAAGTTAATCTTCAGCTAAAAGTAGGAATAAACTTGACCTTCAAGATCGATCATTTAATCATTTCACCCCACTCATTTGTTTAAGAGAATGACTTGTATATTTTACTTTCACTTTTTTCCCATACCTACAGCAGAAGAAAGGGGGTGGGGGAATCGTACTCTGTTGCTCCTCGTAAGAAAGTATTCGCTAGGTGATTGCGGGAAGGGAACTCACAAATGGCTTCTTTGGTTGAAAGGGAGAACATCTGTTGTGCTATTGTTAAATTCTTGGTGACTGTTTTCACCCACACTGTTAATTCTTCAAATTATTACTGATCGTAAATTATAAAAATAGATCATTGCAAACAATAAAATGTAATAAGGAAATTTTGGGGAATCAATTCAACAAAATATAATTTTCAAGCTCAAGTAGTAATAAAAGAACAAACATCGGATAGGTCGCCCCATTAGATACGACGAACATACCACAAGTTTATTTTTAAATAATAAATGCCACAGCGCATCTCCTCGAAATTGCGGTAACTAATTTTTATTAATATTTTTGCAAAGATGCTGATAAATAGTAGTAAAAATTACATTCATTAATCCCTGATTTATGTTTGAGATTACAAAATCTCTATTTGTATGTACTGAAGCTGTATAAAAATTGGAACAAAAAAGCATAATCTTTAATATATAAATAATTGTTTTATACCCGCAGACGAATTTTTCGGAAATCCAGGAGTCTAAGCTGAGGTAACTTGTGAATCACATACAGTCGATAATGTCTCTTAGAAGCTACTGGGTTTTTTAATAAACTGAAAATAATAAAAAAATATGAATCAAAAGCATATGAAAACAGGATTCAGTAATTAAAAAAACCTAATTAACTAGATATATAAAAATCATACGAACCTCAAAGTTGTAAGTGTCTTAACTGTTGACAATGGATCAATGTCACCAAGTTCTTGAATGTGATTATTAGTTAATACGATAGATTCTAAATTAGGAAGGCATTCTTGCAAATTCTCACCAAATCGACTACAAAGTAAATAAAAGATATAGTTTTAGAAATTTTTCCCCAAACCAACTAACATGAAATAAATTTTCTATTTTCCATTAAAAAGGAAATAATTTCATCAACAGTAGTATAGCAATGGTCTATGAAAATGAAAACTTAAAATTATACAAAAATAAAGTGCATGCACACAAGCATGGTGTGATCTTGGTCAACTAGCAAGGAGTAAATTATCAATTGCTAATTACAGAAAACAAAGGAACAAAAATTGCTAGTAATCCCTTAAGGGAGAGCTAGAGAATTAATACTCAATTTGTATAAATTCATGTGGTTTTTTAATCATTATTTCGACAATTTCAGCATGGGTTTCCGAGATCCGATATTATTACGACAAAAAAAAAAAAAAACTCGTTGATTACTCGAAAACATTACTCGTTGATGCACTCGATTCACAATGATCCTATCATGAATTAACACTGCTTTATTTTTTTAAATCTTGTATGCTTTTGTCTCTATTTACTATATTATTCATTAGGTTGTTTCTATGCGGCTTTTTACATTCCGATTTGTAACTCAGACTCTATTTGTGTAAGAGAGTTCAATTCTTTTGTTTTGCCCTTTAAAACTATATTTTTCAAAATGATGCAAAATTTTGTGCACCTTATACATCAAATTTTTTTTTTAACCATTATTAAATAAAATAACTAATAATAAAATTATCATAAAAATTTGAATAGTTTTTATTCGATTCTTTAAAGAAATGTTGCAAATTCTATAAATTATTGTTTCATACAAGAAAAAAAAAGGAGAAATATTTGTTTTAAATTTTAAGATAATATGAGAAGTCAAAAGCCCTCAGATTTTTTAAGACAGTTTAAGATAATAAATTATAAAAAATATAATAACATTAATATAATGTATTTTCTTCATAATTTCATAGAATTCTGAGTTAAGACCTAAAAAAGATTATTTAGCTAAAATTTAAAAAAGTGGTCTTATTGTTTGCTTTTCATGGAATTGACCATATGTAATCCTTACAATTAATTAAAAAGCTGCAGGTAATGTATTGATAAGTTCACTTCGTTTAAAAGAGCATTTTTAGTGAAAATTTTAAAAACATGTGAAGTACCTATCTGAAAACAATTTTATGGAACACTTAGATTTTATAAATAGCAACTTTGGAAAGAATGTGGTTTATCACTCCATTTGCCGGAAAGCGTTCATTTCAATTAGATGTGATAAGATTCTTTTATTTAAATTGAACTGCAAAAAATTGAAACCTTTCCCATTTTTTCATTCTAAATTTAATCTAGTTTTTAAAAAAAAAAAAAAAGAAGAAGGTTGGAAGAGAAAGAAACAATGATAATTAAATATTAGTAATATTTTAAAAACAAAAATAAAGATAAATATATTTAACTCCATAACATAAACTCACCAAACTCTGTTATTGTTCACAAAGATTGTCTTTAAACGCTTCAACAATGGAAATCCATCCAGCTTTCGGATATCATTATCAGATAAATCAATACAGTCAAATTGATCCTAAAAAGAAAACAATTGAAATTTGCATGAAAAATTTGACTCTTTCTAGGAAATAATAAACCTAGTTCTTTTTTCCATTCAATATTAAGTCACTGTTATCGTAAATCAAAAAAAATAATTTTCCTATCAGCAATGCACAACAGGAATGTGGAGGAGACGCTTCTGAGCTGTTTCGTTTTCAATGTAAATATATGCCTCCATCATATTGAGGTTCTTCAAAGCCAGGAAAGAGGTTCAACCTGTTATATACATACATAACTAGATCAACTTTGTGTATATTTGAGGAAAGGAGAAATCTCTTTGTATGCTTCAGAATGGATTTTTGTTCATATTCAGAGCAAAGATAAGACCAAACATAAACATTTTATACATCCATTTGCATCATCACATAAAGACAAAATGTAAATTTATGTTTCAGCTTCAAGCTTCATTAACAGTTAACTTGGCTACATCTCAAAATGAAGAATTGTATTGTTCATTTAATTTTGTTAATTAATAAAATTTTTAATACAACAAAAAATATTAAAAAATGCATTGCAAAAGTAAAGCAATCGTTCTTTAATTGAATAATGAGCAAAATTAAAATTAAAAATATTTATTTTAAACTTGGAGATGTGTTTTAAAATAAAATATCAGGTTAAAGACAACTATACACTTTAAACTTAAAAATATTATCACCAGAATAATAGGCCAGATTTGCCCAGTGTTGGTCAATGCCTTATTTAGAATTCTCTTGCACTGCAAATAATTTTTGAATTCTGTGTGCCAGTTTCCTTATTAAATAGCAAGGTAATTTGTCTAAACTTTATAATTTAAAAGAAAAAATAGATGCTAATTTAATGTTTTACCACACACACAAATACGTTTATCACCTAGTATTTTTAGGACACTCATTTCAGAGTATTATTCCATGAGCAGGCACTAAAACAAAACATTTTTGAAAATAAAAAACTTTGGGGAAAAAAAAGACTAGCTATACTTTTAAACAAATAGTTTAATTTAACCAAACAATTAATGATGTTCAAAGAATTTGTTAATGACATTGGAGTAAAATTAAAGCTTCATATTCAACAAGTTTTTCCTTTAGAATGTGCATTAAAATCTGCGATGTAGCATGCTCATCATTTAAAACATAACTAGTAAGGAAAAAAATATATCTTTAATAAATTTACTATACTTTTTTTTATACTCTTATTAGTAATTCAAGAAAAAAGTTTAACTTTTTTTATGTTATTGCTTTTATAAATAATAAATTTTTATTATTTATAAAATTATTATTTAAAAATTATTTTTAATCAATTACTTTTTATTCAACTAAAGTTCCTAAGAGCAGAACACTGAAAAACCTTTATTCTATGCTTAAATAAAAATGAATTACAATTGTCATAAAAAATTAATATTTGATCATTCATTCTCATATAATCGTTGCAATGCACACCCTATGATTGAGAAACAGTAAACTTAAATCAAAATAGGATAAATGCCTTATTTAAAAAATTATCTTAAAATAGTTTTGAAAAAATTATTACCAATGTGGCTCCAAGATTTTCTACAATACCAATTTTATAACCTGTGAAAGAAAGTAAATTAAATATAATTATAATGTGAAGTCAATCATTGAGTTAAAAATATATATCATTGAAAGTTTATCTTATAACTACCAAAAACCAACAACCACACCTTAAAGTCAGATAGATATTTCAGTTTAATAATTTTATTTGCCTTCTAACTTTCTTTAATTTAACTGTAAAATATATAAAAAATAAACAGTATTTATTAAACTTATTTTTTTTTCATAAAACACAACATTTAATTTACTAATAAAAAACTATCTCTTTCAAGAAAAAGAAAAAAAAAATTAATATGAACAATGCATATAAGAAAGAAAAAATAAACCAAGATTTGAGTTTCTTTTGCTTACTATTAAGGCCAATTCAAGATTTATATTGATGCCTATTCTTTGCTTCCTTTTTTTTCTCTTTTTTTTTGAAGTACATTTTTTTTCAAAATATATTTTTAATATGAAATTAAAAGAAATATAAAATATTCATCAAAATGTTAGCTATGAGTTTCAAAACATAACAACAAAGAATGCTTCATATTATTTTATATACCAATATTTTCAATAATGTGCAAAATTTGAAAATAAATAATACACATTTCTTTACTAAAAATGTGAATTATTTGAGACAAAAATTAGAAATTTTGATTCACTTTAATTTGGTAGCATTGAGAGTTGCAAAAAATTTAACAGAGCATTTTGAAAAAAAGTTCTAGATTATATTTGAAATTTAAAGTAGATATATGTGTATGAATTTGAAAATTGATGTGAAATATATTTTATTTATGAAATATACAATACATAAAAAGTTTTTCTGCATTAAATGCTCTAATTTATAAATGGCTTCTAAAAAAAAACAAATGCGTACATACTAAACATGATAGATAATTTTTACTTTGGCAGCTATGATCTGCATGCCTTTCGCAGCACTGAAAAGTTAAAATGCAACAAAGCATAGCATACTGAGTTTTGATAACTTTTATTTTTTTAGAAGATACTACACAATAAAAATTTCAATTTTGAAGAATTTTTTATTTCATGAAGGAATGCAAGTTTAGCAAAGTTGCCAATAAAAGGTAATAAAATTAAACTGAATTAGCCCTAGATAAAAGCATTTAACTAAATTAGATAATATATCTATTAGGGGTGCACAACCTTTTTCAGTGAAGGGCCACTTGTGCAGCAGGTTGACTAACAAAGGGCCGCACGCATTTTAAGTCATGTTTGTGGCAAATATCAGGATTTTTACGTAAACATTAAGGTACAAAGAAATAAATTTTTTATCAGTAAACTTAGTAATGTGTTTGTAGAAAATTACTTTAAATTATTGGAATTTGTTCAAAAAATAAAAAACATGCTTTTTTCCAAATTTATTTTTATTAATAATTGATTTATCAAAAAAAAAAAATTATTAATATTATTATATAATTATATATATCCTTATATACATATTGGGGAAGAAAAATATAAATTCTTAATAAAAAAAAAACTGTAATGCTCACAGAATAAAAGTGTTAAAAAAAATACAGATGTATTATAAATATATATAATATAAAAGTTATATAAATTCAGATAAAAATGTTTTTAAAGAAAATTTATAGTTTGAACAAAAACCTGAAATTAAAACAGAACCATTTTAGTACAAAATTAAGATTCCATATTTATTTGGTATTTTACTTGAGATATTAATTCTATTTTTTAAATTTTTAATTGCTTTGAATTACGATGAAATCAGTATGTATGAAGTACATCTATAAGTAATTACTTAAATGCATGATTTAAAATTTGCATATCGTAATAAAAATCAGAATTACTAAAACCTTCGGGTAATGCATAAAAACTGCCGAAAAACAAATTAAAAAATAACTTGGACCTCAGATAAAATCAACAGAAAGAAAGCATGTCCAAAAGTGATAAGTTAAATGTGCCATTTGAAACTCACGTGTCATAATAGCATAGTAGTAAAAATACAGGATTTTTACTACTATGCTACGAAACACATGGAAAAGTATAGCAATAACTGCCTTTAAAAAAATCATTTAAATTTACGATGAAATCAGCAGAAATAAAACATGTCAAAAAGTGATAAATTAAACGTGTGATTTATAATTCACGAGTCATAATATTGTAATAAATGTAGAGGGATTTTAAAAACCACATGAAAATTGCGTTATAACGAAAAGAGAAAAAAAAACACATCAAAACGTCACTTTAATTTATGATGGAATCAGCAACAATAAAGCGAGTCAAAAGCGGTTACTTAAATTCGAAATTTGCGTATCATAATATCAATTTAAAAATATTAAGTTTCTTAAAACCATGCAGAATTTCTTAGCAACAACCATAAAAAAAAGCAATCAAAAAACAAAATAGAATGATAGAATTTTTAAAATTTTTTTACTTTTCAAAAAAAAAATTTTTTTATTGCGTTTAGAACCTCTTGCAGGTTACACATCAACAATTGGCAGACAACAGGTTGTGCATCCCTAACTAAAATAATTAACTTAAAAACAAAACATAAAAAAAATTTAATTTAAAGCAGAACTTTATTTGAAACTGCAATATCAGGCAATGTACATATGTTTACTATGTGTATACCCATTAGTAAGATGTGTCAACCTAAATGTTATCAATTTTAAAGGTTCTTTCTAACTTAATGTTTTATAAATCATAAAAAAAAAACTTTCTTACATTTTAGAGTTAGACAATTGATCTATATGCCAATGCAATAAAAATGAAAAAGAGCAAATCTGAAGTGACATATCAAGTAGTTATAAATACTTACCTGAACACTGCAGTGTCCCTTTCCATTGATGTTTTCCTGAGACCCTGCATGTTATTTTTGAATAGTTACCAATCTTACATTATCTAACCATATCGCTTCTGGGCCCATGGGGAACTCAAACAAAGGTAGACAAGTATAACCTTGACACACTAAAAGCTTTCTTGTTTTTTTTTTAAAAAAATAAAACTTTATCTATTAAACTTAAAAATAGGAATAAAAAATATATTGTACACTAAAACCAACAAATTGAAGAAGCCACTTTAATTTTACTAAAATAACATTCAATGGTGTTTTTTCATCGAATGAGTTAATCTTTCGCCTTTTACTAAAAGAGTAATGCAAAGTCATCTAATTCGAGTAGAAATAAATTTTATATCTAAGAACACATTAATTTATCCATAAAAAATATAATTTATAAAATGAACAGTCATAGTTTTAAATAGCATTTTTAAAAAAATTCCTTATTCTGTCCTTTGTTATCTGTCTTGTCTGCCTTTGTAAATTGAAAATATATTATTGAAACCAAAAAGAAAATTAAAGAAATAAACATTGGTAAATGAGTAGTATACAATTTTTTATCAGATTATTATCAAGATATTAAGAAAAGAAAACTCTTGAAAATTTAACATCCATCTGCACAATTCCAGGATCTAGAAAGAAAACTCTTTCAGTAAAAGTCAAGATGAAAGCTTCTTTACATAAGTAAGGCTGTCAGCAGTAATGGAAAAAAAAAAAACTAAGTATCTTAGAAGATAATACACACGCGTTTTTCATAATAATACAAATATGTCTTTGTTTCTTAGTTTTATACAAAAATAACAATAGAGAAATTATTTTATTGCAAGAGGAATAAATCAACTTTAAGGAGACTTATAAAGTCAAAAAAACGATTTATTCTTTTGAATCTAAGAAAAATAAAATAATTTGAAAATAAAAGTAGTAAAGAATTCAGAAATAGAGTGAATTTATTATATCAGATAAAAAATTAAGATTCATTCAGAGGAGAAAAAGAAAATATCATTTTAATTAATACTAAATTATTAAAAGTTAAACTATGGATTTGTCTCGAGTCCATATTTCTTTTTTACCTAACTGTTGTGGTGTTACTTTTTACAATAATTGGCTAAATGAAATGGAATTTTGCTAACTCAATAATCTGCAGAATGCAATGATATGCTGCTTCATGGACAAAAATTGAATTCAACAGCTAATTTTATGATGGAAAATATGAAAAATATGAAGAAAAAAAAAACTGCATTGCTCACAGAATGAAAACAGGAAAAAATTTAATACATCATTAAGTTTCACATTATTATATTTCAATTGAAGAAAATTTATAAGGTTATATAAAAGCCTAAAATAAAAACATAGCCACTATAGTTCAAAGTAAGATTAAAAAAAACTTACTTGGTAATGTACTTTATTATTTCTTTTTATTGAATTATTAGATTTTTATATAGTAAACGATTTCCTTTTTTTCCAAAAAAAGATCACTTAAGGAACAAAAAATTTAAATCAGAATTGCAAACATTGAGCAGTTTCCCTCCAATTGCGAATTTTTCAGGTTGCAATAATATTTCATTAAGATCAGGGATGTAACAAGTATTTGGCCCTCTTGTCAAAAATTCAGTTGGCTGAATGATCAGCCAAATGCTTGGCAGAGTATTTTTTAGAACAGTATTTTTCCAAGTTTTAAATTTTTTTTAAAATTTGTATATAATGTTTTAATTAATATTACATAACATTACATTTATTTTAAGTACATTAAGTGTTCTTGTTCATAATTATGCCTACTTTTTATTTGATACTATTAGTGATTAAACTATTTTTCAACAATTATCATGTTGATAAGATGTGTTTATCCTAAAATAGCCCACCCCGTGGCGATTTTTTGAAATCTCACTAAGTAAGTTTTTGAAATCATGTTAAACTAGGTTTCCGGAAGATATTTCTTTGAGATTATTTTGAACGTCTCATCACACCACCAAAATTCCTAATCCTGATTGGTTTTTTGATATGTATACCTTAGAAAGTTAGATTCCCTAAGAAAAGAGTTTATTTTTCTGCCATTTATGCTTCTGTTCTCCTGCTGTCACAACCATCGTTATTATTTCATTTTCTAACAGTTATTTCATTTACTACCATTATTATTAAATTTTAAAAAAAATTTGTGCAGTACTGGCTGAATAAAATTTAATTATTTAATTTTTTTTTTTTTAAGTAATCAAAAGGCAACGTTGATCTCAGTAATAACCACCAATTTGGTAAGATTTCAAAAAGTCGCCAGAGGTGGGCTTTTCTAGGATTTTCCGATAAGATAATTATGAACTAAGATCACTACAATGTGATCATAGACACAGGTTTAACAATTATACATTTGAAATAAAATAATAATTTGCTTCCCGATAAGGATATTACTCGATACTATTCAAAAACGAGCTTAAATTAAAACTTAAACGATTAAAACTATCTTCTCTTTGTTTATTCAAGATGTGTTCGAGTATCTTGTGAAAGAGATGAGCATCTATAAAAGGTATAATTTAAAACAAAATGTTTACAAGTAATTGTTTAATTTTGAAACAATTGTAAACTCTGTAATTAAAACGTAACATATTTATTTCATAAATGTTTTTAAATTTTATTTCCTTAACTATAATACTTGTAGAATTTATATGCATACCTCTTAAATCTAGTTGTCTGTCTCGAACTGTATTGATGAACTGAGGACTCATTTGAATTAGTTCCGCTGTAAGTTTCACCATGATTAAATAATCACTTTCTTGAGTGAATAAAATAAATTTATTCTTAAATTTGAATTTAATATACGCAATTTACAAACGGCGCGATCTTCGTCGAAAAAAATAGCAAACAAAACAACAACAGTATTTATATTTTCATTTCAGTTCAATTTCGTTTTCGAAATAATACATTTATATGGATAGTTGACCGTGTAAAACTATGCGCAGATGGCGCTAAAAATGGAAATTCGTGCTAAGACTTCCGATTTACTACTTTCGTCTGATTTTTACGCCTCAGCTTGAAATATAATGCATTGAATTTCCAATATAACGCATTCTTTCAATCTAACTTTCAACGAAACAACAAAAACAGGGATATTTTACTCAAATATGGATGGTGTTTTCTACACTAGGAAGCGCTGCAAGCTCGGGATTGCCTAAATTTCCGGGTTACTGTTTCAGTTGTATTTTAAAGCCATTTGGCATAATTGTGTTTTGAGATTCTTGCAAACAATGCATTTGATTACTTATTACTCATGTTTACAATGCTAACAATACTTGTGTTTACAATACTAAAAGTGTTAACACTAACGTAAGATGGTGCACAGCTTGCAACACGAACAAACTGTAATAAACAAATGGAAAGAGGCCAAATCAAGACTGCTAAAAAAGCGAGTTATTCAAAATCTAGCAACCATGTCACCTTTTTTAATAATAAATAACAAAATAACTAAAACAAATTTTCGCTCCAAAATCCCCAGAATTTCATAATAACATTAATATTTTATGAAATACGGCAGATTTGAGCTCAGAAATTATCTAGTTTATTTCTTTTATTCAAAACAAAATTATCCGTTTGAAAACATCGCCTATCAGAATAACATGTAGTAAGCAGCTGCAAACTTTTTAACCGGAACTAGAGTAGGTCCCAAGCTCGAGATTGTTATTGTTTACATTTCTATTGAAAACACCATCCATAGCCAAATAAGGGATAAAACTCAAAATACGATTTACTTTACAATTTATTAATGCTGTGAGATAATTTTGTTAAATTTGTTTTAGGCTCACGATCTGCTACAATTTTTTAAATTACAGTGAACTCTTATGAATGGTAAATTTACGGGTAAATTTAAGCAAAACTGACAATAATAAAACTTCCTATAACTATAAATTTGTTTTTGGTGTAAAAAATGAATGAAATAAGCTGAATTGTGGATTTTATTGAAATGAAAACAAAATGAACTGCTATAAATGTTTTCTTTAAAAAAAAGGTCTTAGGGAGGGTTCTTTTTAATAGCGAATTCAGTTATTTTATTTTAATGTGAAATACTAATGTAATTTTTTACAAATACTTGAGATTTTCATCAATATCTTATTATTAGAATATGTATATATTTTCATTTCTTTTCCATTGGTATTTTACTTTAATTGCACAAAGGCAACCGCAATAATAAGTTAATAATCGATTGTTGATCGAGTCTAAATAGAATGATAGGTATCAAAAATGTTTCTTTAAAAATAAAACTGCCGAAATTCGTATCACTTGGAACACTTTTAACTCTTCCTTACAACCTCAGAGTTTCGCAGAATACTATTTAGGAACTGCTAGAATATTTAATAAGAACAATCGAACAAGTTAATTCTCAATTTCGTTTTTAATTTGCTAGATAAATTTTGGTGCATTAAAGTGGCATTCTTTATAAATCTTTTCATATTCGTATAAAATACTCATTTTGTTAAAATCTATTGCGATATTTACAAAAAACATTTTTTTTTGCTAATTAAAATATATTTTAATACAGTATTTTTAAATTAATGCTTACAGTTATTTTTTAATAAAAAGGCAACATTTCTGGGCACTAGGGCCAATTTTTAGGAATGAGCATGTTATGGAATGAAAATGTTATGGTATGTATGAAAGTAGTATAGCAGTTTCTTGGATTTGTGTTAAATTTACTATATTGGGTATAGCTTCTATTCTTTAGGAAATCAGATGCCTAGGAATTGTATATACCCTTGCTTACTACTCCAAAAATATATGCGTTTAATTTTAATCTTTGATTTTGAATCTTTATCAATAACAAAAGAAAAAAAAAAGAAAAGAAAAACACGGAATGATTTTACTAAGAGAAGTTATGCATTACCTGCAAATTCCGTTAAAACTTTTGTTTTGTGCTTCCAGTCTTCTTTGCTAAAATTTTAGGTTTTCTAGGATTGTATTTGAAATCATGTCTTCTTTAAATTCTAACCGATAAGAATGCAAAAAAATAAAACAGGACAATTAGTTTTGTATGATAATACAAAACTAAACTTTGTATGATTAAACAAAACTTTTGTAGGAAAATATTAGATGCTATTTTATATGAAAAATATTAATGGTATTTAATCTTGAACAAAACAAATAAGGCTATTCAAATTTATTTTATAAAAGGTAGTAAGTTTAAATCTTCAATCTTGCATGATTTAATCTTGCTTTAATCTTATTTATTTTTTTCAAGGTGCATCAAAGCTTATAAGGCAACCTCAACGGCAAAAATGTAGATATTGAAAATGAGGAAGGAAGATTTTATTATATAATCAATTGCGCATTGTATTTTTGTATTGTATAAATGTCTTATTTTTGATCTTACTATTTTATATTTTAAATAAATGTTTAACATTTATTTCTGATCAAGAAAGCAACAACAGAAAGACTTTTCCCTAGTAAGCTTGGGGTTTAAAATTAATTGGTTTACAATTACAAAATCTAGCAGTAGTCAATATTGTCCAATTTATATTTTAGTTTGAAATGTTTTAGTTTTAAATATTTCAATTTTAAAGTTGAAATTCCATTTGCTCCTTCTTCATATGCCTTCTATACCAAAAAGCTTTATTAGGCTTTAAAAAAATTAACAGGGTATTTACTGTTATCTATGTTCAAATGAGTGTCGTCCCACAGTGGACTGATCGTATAGACACGGCTCCCAGTAGAACACAGAAGTCAAGCATCACTGCATTCACTCAGTAAGCGGGTAGGTGACCACTTTCATCAGCCTGTACTGAGACCAAGGGTGCGTGATATACGTCCTCGTTAAACTGTTCTACCGTAAAGTGGTCAACTTCGCGAGCAGGTCGTCGAGTTATCAAAGTGGAGGAGCCATCCCTTCTACAGAGGATCAAAATTGTGATGGTATGTTTTCGAATCATCCTCGGGGATCGTTCCCAGACAGTCGCCAATAGCCCATTGTGCAGCTCTAGTGTGATGTATATAAAATACCTACCTATCTCAAATGTGCGTTATTAAATTTAACAATATATATATATATGATTTTGATATTTAAGCATTAATCTAAATTAAAATAAATTTGGAAAATATTTTCTGTACCAATTTTTCATTTTCATTGAACAACTTTACAATTTAAAGTGGCAAATTTTATGAATCACTAATGAATTGGTGAAAATGATATAAAAATTGATGAGCGAGGGGCCGTTCAAAAAGTACGTAAACAAAAATGGAGAAATTTTAAACCCCTCCCCCCTTCGTACATTCCCATACAAAAGGTCTTACTCCCCCCCTTACAGTACGTACATTTTATTAGTCTACCCCCCTTTTTCATAAAAATTAAAATAATTATGTTTTAAATCAAATTCAATATTTATTTAAGGAGTGTGTAGGATAAAGTCATTTAAATTTGATGCATGTTTATAAAGTACGCACTTTGTATAATACCTTCCCCCCCTCCCCATCGTACAAAATCGTACAAAACAGCAAATCCCCTCCCCCCCTTCGGGATGTACGTACTTTTTGAACGGCCCCCGACTATCATTTCTTTTACTCGTTTCCTGGACCCATTTTGATAACATCTAAAGACATTTGTTCTTTCTGGTAGGTAATCAAAGTAACCATGTGGATTACACACACCTCTAGAAATGTTTTTTTCCCCTTTTAGAGTCTTCTATGGGTCTTCTCAACTAGCTTCGTATTAGTAAATCCTATATTTCCAATAGAAAACAGTTGCTTTTTTTCCCAAGAACCCATTTGAGTAAACCATATAGTCATTATGAATAGAACACATTTTTTTTACTACTTAAAAATATATCAGTAAACCAGGTGAGTCTCCTATAAACAATTTTGCTAGGGCATAACATGGCACGGAAGTGTGAAACCTACATGTGCCCTCATATGCATTTTGCCACATGGTATAGAAGTGGGCAGGGCCGGATTAACCTATAGGCACGTGGCTAGGGCCTAACAAATTCAGGGGCCTACGAAAAACTTGGGAGAAAAAAATTTGTTGACAAAAATAATTTAGCTTTAAAAACAACAAGCGTATTTTGCGCAAAATTATGAAGATACAAATAAAAATATAATATTTTTCGGTAATAAATTATTTTGCAGAATCTTATGATCTAATATATTACTTTTCTGCGATTTTTGGATTCAATGAAATCTTGTATTATGCTGTCGAATTCCAAACTACGCAAAATGTCGTATTCAATATCGTATATTTCTTGTAATTAATCTCACTATCAATTTCACTGTTTTCTTTGCATAGTTATACATAGTTACATATAGTGTTTACATAGTTATCGATCGAATTAATCATAATGGTATTATCGATATCAACTGCAATATCGGCAGTATGTCGGTATTGCAGATAAAGTTCGATAAACAAATTTGTAAATTAAAATCCATATTAATAAAAATGTAAAAAAATATACGCAAGAAAATTTTAGCACATATTTTGAAAAGAGGGGCGGAGTGGGGGAAGGAGGGCCCCAAAACGGCTATGCCTAGGGCCTACGAAAGGTATAATCCGGCTATTGAAGTGGGTAACCTGTAAGGGCCCCACATGGATAAACCATGCGGACCAATGTCGGTAACCCACTTCTAAGCCATGTGGGCCTACTTATGTCTGCTATCAATCAAACTATGATGGAATTTGTATTGGCTGGTAAATACAGCTGGGTAAATTCAATATCGGGGTGCTTGGCAGTTTTGATAGTCCCAACAAAAATATGATGGTTTGTGATTTAAAATTTTAATGGTATTAGCAAATTCTATTGCATCATGATGGATTTTTTAATGGGCCATTACAAAAATGTTGGCTATGTTAACCAATTTTAAAGATCCATCATGCTAGGTTGGTCCATTTTACTTTTCATTTTACAACCGTCGTTGAACAGCCGACCCAATTTTTGGTTTACAACTACTGATGTTCAACTCCGTTGCCTTGTAATTTTGAACCAATCCAGAAGACAAGGAAACTCCTGGATCAGTACCCCCAGAGGTTTGATTTGTTTCGAGGATATGGAGAACTTAGCGACTCGACAGATTTAACGTGCATCAGTCACCATTTACTACACGGGGAGTCTTCGGCCGGCGGGGATCGAACCTACGACCTCTTGGACATAGGCCAAGTGCCTACCAGTCAGGCTATCCCGGCCAGCTGATCGTTTATGAGCAAAATGGCACGTTACAGTTGAGTTAAATTTTCCTACGTAAGTTAGACTGCAAATTAACGTGAAGGTAATTAAATACAGCGAATATCGTACATCGCATGTTGAAATATAATTCTTCCTTTTCCAAGTCCTTTATTTAACTTAATATATTTGTTTTTATATACTTGTAACTTCTTTTACATTTTGGGACTACGCATGTATATAGCATTGTCAAAATTTGTATAATAATGGTTTATATATTTATAATGATGATTTATAACGAATCACGTATCTGACGGACAAACAGGGCTGTTGTTCATTGAATGACCAATATTTGAAATTGGCGGCTTATAGCTTATCAGCTATACAGCATTGTTTGCGACGATACAACCTTGATGATTTCAACGGCCACCTCATTTCTCGGTGGTTATAGTTAAACTTAGACAGAATCGGGTTTAATATTTTTTGGCCATATGTGTTGCCAAACGACTACAAAGTTATTAACTTCCTTTAATCCGTTTCCTTCTGTCTAACTCAATCTTATGAGGAAACGAATTGAATCTAAAGTTGAGCAAATACAATCCACCAGAAGCGTTGAAATTCTCCATTTGCTGTCTTCTCTTGTTTACTTTTTTATCAGTTGTTTTGAAAGTGTTTAGTTTTATGTTTAATTGAATATAAATCGCTGAACTCCGCGATATATTAAAAAAATATATATATTGAGTCGTGTTTAATATTTTTCCCTTATGTATGCAGTTCTTTTCACTCTGCCAAATGTATTATTTAAAATCTAATCATGAGTAACGAATTAAAACTGCACCAATCATTAAGTGCTAGACTTTCTTTCAAAGTTAAAAAGCGTAATTTGGAAAATCTAGAAAATACTTCTGATGTTACTCATAAATCTTTAAAGATCAGTGAAAGCGAAGTTTCTGATTATTCAAATTCTAGACTTGATGAACAATTTTTTAAAAAGCCATGTACTGTGTTAGGAAAAAGTTTATTGGGAAAAATACTATGCAGAAGATTATCTTCTGGAGAAATTTTAAAAGGTAGGGTCGTAGAAACTGAATGCTATTTAGGAGAGGAGGATAAAGCGAGTCATTCCTATCAAGGTAAAATAACTGAACGTAACAGGGCCATGTTTGAAAAACCTGGTACTGTGTATGTTTATAAAATATACGGTATGTACCATTGTTTCAATATATCCAGTCTTGAAGAAGGATCTGCTGTTTTGATTAGATCAATTGAACCTTTGCAAGGGGAAACATTGATGCAGCAGTTAAGGTCCATAAAGCGAAAAAATGATAATTTATTGAAACATAAGGATTTATGCAATGGTCCATCAAAATTGTGTGAAGCATTCAAAATTACTAAAGAGGAATTAAACATGGATGATTTGTCTGTTTCTAATAATCTATGGTTCGAGCAAGGATCAGATGTTTCTGACATTATTGCTTGTAAACGAATTGGAATTGATTCTTGTGGTGATGAATGGGCTAACAAACCTCTGAGGTTTTATGTTAAAGATTGTGTATATGTTAGTATTAGAAATAAGCAAACTGAGAAAAATTGTTCTGTTCAAGATTTATGACTCCCTTCAGTTGATTTAATTTGTTTGTAATTCATTTAATGAGGTTCAATCTCGAGTTGTTCAACACAGATTTTATAAATCTTTGAAATTGGTGTGGTCTGTAAATAATATAAAATGCTTTTAGACTGCTGAAGTGCCAAAGACTAGATAATTTCTCCTTTCAGAAAATTATTTTTCAGATTTATACATTTTTTTTAGAAAAAAATTTACAATTTTTAGTTATTAGTTTAGACAAACTCAAAATTTTCCTGACTTTTTGGGTATTTTTTAAATTTTCAGATTGATAAAATTCTCTGACATTTCTTTATCCTCCTTAATTTTCCTGTTCACCTTTCTAATTTTTTTTACGATTAAATAAATAGTTAAATAGTTTATTTAAAATTAAATAAATAGTTTTAGTAACAAACTTTTATTGGTAATAAAAAATATCTGTCACTGTTTCTAGTACTATAATTTTTATTGTAACTTTTTTTAAAGGAATTAAAAATTCATATGAAATCTGAATTGAAAAATTGAGAAACTGATTGGTGGAATTTCAGTACAACAGTTTCATCTGTACAGAATAAATAGTCTCAAAGTTTTTAAAAATTAAATTTTAATGTTTGTTTAGTTTTTTTTTAGTATGGAAAGCTTCTAACTTTTTTTCCTTTTCAAAATTATTTTAAATCTTTAAAATAATTTTTTTTTATTACCAGAAGCAATGAACTAAATCATGGAGAAATTATGAACTGGAGTGTTCGAAAATCTGCCTGTGTAAACATTTAAAACCTTAAAAGTTTTGAAATGTGCTTCACTGGCTTCGTGTTTCCAAACTTGTTCAATATCATTCTTTTGTAAAGTAATTTATGTATTAACTTTGTCACCTTCATTCAATTCCACATTCTCATATAATTTGTAAAAATATATTAATCACCAATTACAGTTTTTCTTTTGTTTTTTTGTATTGGTATTTTTATATTTTTTATACTATATATATATATA